TTAACAACGTATTATTATATGAATTTTATTTATATCTATTATATATATAATATAATATAAGTATTATAGTAAAAAAGTCAAATAAGTACAAAGAAAGTCTTTAAAGTCGTTCTGCATTCAGCCACACTCCGCCCTTTACAGAAATGATAACTTGCACTGGATCGTATTCCATAGGCGTCTGTGTTTTGGCATTCAATGTAAACCTGTAATCCTTCAGGAGCGCTACTATAGCCACTTTTACTTGCATTGCTGCAAATCTTAAACCTGAAACAATATTCTAACTAAATACAACATATTGACTGCAAACATGGTTTTCTTACCTATACATATTCTTGGCCCTTCTCCAAATGGTAGAAACGCAAAGGGATCTCTCTTACTTTTTTCGCCTTCCGAAAATCGTTCCGGATCAAATTTCTCTGGATCTGGATAATATTCTGGGTCGTGGTGGATCCCGTATACAGAAATAAATATTCTGTCACCCTTTTTCAGTTCCACACCTGTCCCAGGGATTTTATACGCTTTTGTACACATCCTTGATAGGGCTGTACCTGGCGGGTGCTTCCTCAATACTTCTAGAGTATAAAAAAGTAGAAAATAAGGGGTACTCCTACCAAAACCGAGTATAACACTTTAGAGAAGTGCTGTTCACGTCCTCCTTTCTTACCTAGAAAGCATTTGTCCAAATATTCCATCTCCATAATGGCTTCATAAGTTATTTCTCCGTTATGTTTCTCTAAAACTGTGTTGATTTCATTCCTGAGTTTTTCCTGGATGTCAAGGTTCATCACCAATTCGTACATTAAAAATGTCAAAGCTGTTGAAGACGTTTCAAAACCTGCCACAAAAAACACGAATGCTTGAGCAGTTATTTCGTTTAAAGACAGTCCATCTTGCGAATAAAGAACAGTGTTACCAGCTTCCCCATTAGAATGTTTACCCTCTAAAGAAATCTTCTGGTTCTTCAACTGAATAAGAAGCTTCAAGAAATCTTTACGATCAATATTATGATTTTCTCTGTAATCAATAGTGTCTTTGATAATGGTACTGAAAAATCTTTCCATTTCCTTGTCGTGTACAGGAATCCTGAACAATTTCAACAGTTGTGGAACACAAAATGATAACAAAACTGTAATCCTCCTACGGAAACTTCCTTCAAAAATCCTTTTCCCGTACTTCCTAAACTCTGTATCCGGGTTCTTCAGGCAATTACAGTCTATTCCAAAAGCTACTGATCCAATAATATCAGTGGTAAATCTGGCCATTGTTTCTTTGATGTCTATGGGCTCGGATCTCCCAACACATTCGTCCATAAGTCCAGGAAGATGCTTGGTACAATCGACGATAGTTTCAAACATCATTTTAATCTTACCGGATGTAAACGTTGGAGTCAATTTGATCCTGAGGGCCTTCCATCTGGCTCCACTCAAACGAAACAAATTTCCAGTTAAGGGATCGACCTTTTCATTGATGTAGTTAATATGGTCGCTAAAACTTTGGAAATCTTTGACCAAAATGTTCTTGATGAGATCCAGATCAGAAATTAATAGGAAGGGTTGGAAAAACATAAATAACCCGCCGTACTTCAACCCCTTTGCCCTCAAGTCTTTGTACAATTGAGAGACCAGCATCCCGGACGATATTTTGCGAAAAAATGTAGGCTTGAAGTTGCCGAACGGAATCGTTGGTTCAAATGTGAAAACATTTTTTCTTTTCCAATAATCGAAATTCCACTTATAAAACAAAATTACGAATGTAATAAACGATGCAATTGTAACCGCGAACACTTCCAGCAAGACGATCATTTTGTTTCTTTTAAACTATTCTTGGATGCACTTTTGACAAATGTATGTAAAACATTCTCTGACTACTGGAGACTGTTTTAAATAAAGATACAAATACGCATCTTACTTACTTAAGTATGTTGCATAAACAAAGATTAAATCTATTTTTTTAATAGTTTACTTTAATGAGTATGTAGATAGCAGAGGTTTATCGCCGATAAGAAAGTTAGTAACGTTTTGTTTTGCCCATTTATCATAATATGAACTGATGTCTTATCGTTTTTATATTGGATACGCATTTCAAAATAATCAGATTGTTTAAAATGGCATACTGTAAATTCTGAAATTGAACTAAAACAGTAGAACAAAATACAAGCAAGTACTGCTAACGTACACCATTAATTTTATTTTATTATCAGGTTGATTTTTTTTTTTTATTAGAATAAACGGTGTAATGGTTATTCGCCAATGTCAAGGAATTTGTTTGTTTATTTATTTATTTATACACTTCATCAAAGGACTTAAAAATCCTTTACATAGAAATAATAATCAATATAGGTTATAATAGAAAGTGTACAATGTGCGTCCCCTCTATCTCCCGTCCATGAAGAAGGTTCCCGTTTTTACCTGAAGGGCGTGCTTTTGAAGAAATAAGGACTGAAAGTTTCGCCCTCTAGAAATTTCTAAAACAATCGACAACTTTAGAGAGTATTCTAAAGCATTCCACAACATTCTAGAATATTCTGGAATGTTGTGGAATGTTCGGGAACATCTAAGATCTTCGTGGAACATTCCAGAACACACTCGAATGTTGTGGAATATTCTAGAACATTGTGGACCATTCGAAGCCTTTTTTGTATTGATGGAGCTATATACTGTTTTATCCGTCGTGGGTTCCAACGTTCGGGAACATCCCAAAAAAATTTGGAATGTTGTGTAATGTTCGAGAATAGTCTGGAATGTCCCAGATCATTGTGGAACATTTCAGAACACTCTCCAATGTTGTGGAATATTCTGGAACATTGTGGACCATTCGAAGCCTTTTTTGTATGGTTGGAGATACCTACTGTTAGGGGTATGTAAAGCAAGATCTGTCGTAGGTTCCAACCATTCAAGACCAACTTTAAAATCATGTAGAACACTCAAAGTCGAAACTGTAAGGTCTATATTTACAATATTTAACCCTCACTACCATGTCTCTAACAGTTCAACGTGATGAATCATATTTAAACTCACAAAATCTCAATCTTATGAAGAAGTAACTCATGATCATCTCTGTCAAATGCTGTTTGGAAATATTGAGTATAGTTTGTAACAGCTTTAAGAACAAAATCGTTAAATATGAGCAAGTTTGACAGAGTGGATCTAAACTTATAGCTAATACGTACTATAGTTAATTATTTATTGAACGTCTTCCATTGTCAATGTGACAATAATTTTAGTTTTAATTTTAAACTTAAAATATATACCTAATGTAATCAATTAACTAATATCATTTGAATTTGTCCAATTTATAGTTTCACCCGAAGAAAGCAGTAAATTATTAAATGTGATGTCAAACATTTTAATTAAGCAACGCGTTCATGTAAAATTAGTAACTTATCCTAATTTACAGTACCAAAAAGTACCTACATATAAAGTAATTGTAACAGGTATTATACCACTTTTTTAGATGCAAAGAGTTAATTTTCTTAAAGTGAAAATTTAGATAAATTTATACTCTGCAGGGATCAACCCAAATGCCTCCTTTAGCAGTCATGATAAATTGAAATGGTTCCAATTTAATAGGCAACTGCGTTTTGGAGTTTAAAGTAAATTTATAATCCTTCAACATCGCCACCAGTCCAACCTTTGTCTGTAAGAGGCCCAATCGTAAGCCTAAAGAACAAAAGAAAACTTAAATAAACAAAGACACTTATCAACAATATAGCATATAAATTAATAAAACAATTTAAAGTAGATCATAACATATACTCAGTTTCCTTTTGGATGATGATGAAAATGCCATAGGCAGATAGAAAAGATAGAGGTATTGACAAAAGGGAGATAAGATGGGAGGACCTCTTTTGAGATATAAGAGGCTAATTAGAGACGTATTAGAAGCACAAACAAAGGGAAAGAAAGACCTAGATTAGATTAGGTGGTGTTAGCAAATAGTTGGAGATGAGGGATAATCTAATTTTCGGGAAATACAAATAATGAATCAAGATAGAAGGTATTGAGATATGAATATAATCGTCTTCTTACCAATACAAATTCTGGGGCCTTCCCCAAAGGCCAGGAACGTGAAGGGCGACCTTTTCCCTTTTTTCTCATCTGAAAATCGTTCAGGGTCATACTTTTCGGGTTCAGGGTATATCTCGGGGTCATGATGAATTCCATATGATGGTATCAAAACCACTGTGTCTTTTTCGATTGTTAAATCGGATCCAGGCACTTTGTATGATTTTGTACATTTCCTCGGTAAGAATGGTACTGGAGGATATTTTCTTAAGGTCTCTAAAATAAATATAAATATATTAAACTTTTTTGGTATAAATAATAACTCTTATGGCAGCAGCAATAATTTTTGCTCATTAATTTGAGGTTGTCTGTAGTGAGTAAAATTAATTTAAAAATCAATTCACAAACACATTGAATTAATGCTACAAAAAATCCAAAGTATCTCATGGAAAAGTATTTTTGTAATTTAGCAGACACGTATCTAGGGGGAGGGGTTATTGGGTTAATTTGCCCCCCCCCCAGAAATTAAAAGAATACTCTAAAGAAGAAATGATAACAGATAACACCATAGAAGCAAGTGGTAGTGAGGAAGATTTCAAAAATGTTTACTGTTTATTTGAAGTATGACTAGTCTCACTTAGCTAACGACTCCTTTCATAAAAGCTTTATCAGTTTTACATACCATACGTGCATTTATCTAAATAGGTCATTTCTTGTATAGCTTCGTATGTGATTTTTCCGTCGTGTTTAGCCAAGACCTGGATAATTTCTTCCCTAAGTTTGTCTTGGATCTCTGGATGCGTCGTTAGTTCGTACATCATGAAGTTGAGAGTGGTCGAGGACGTTTCAAATCCAGCAAAGAAAAAGACAAATGCTTGGGCAGCAATTTCATTCATGGTCAAACCGTTTTGGTAATAAGCAATCCCATCATTCGTATTGTTTTTATTAGTACTAGACTCAGTTTTGATCTCTTGGTTTCTCAGTTTCATCAGCAGTTGTATGAAATCTTGTCTCTCATATTTGTTTTTGTCCCTGTACCCGACAGTTTCCTTGGTGAGTCCCAGGAAAAAGTTTTGCACGTCCTTTTTCGAATTGGGAATGCGAGCGAGTTCGAGTATTTTCGGCATTAGCAGAACGAACAAAGTCTTGATCGCTTGGAGCCCTTCTACTTCGATCAATTTTTTCCCGTATTCTCTAAACTCGTTATCCGGGTTCTTTAAGCAGTTACATTCTATTCCAAAACCAACTGATGCGATTACATCGGTGGTGTATCTAGCAAATGTGTCTTTTATGTCAATGGGACTGTCTGAAGCTACAGCTTCATCCAAAACAGTCGGAAGATCCTTGGTACAATCCACTAACGTTTGAAACATCATCTTCAATTTCCCACTCGAAAATAAAGGAGTCAGCTTGGATCTTAGGGCTTTCCATTTGGCCCCTTTTAGAGAAAATAAATTCCCGCTGAGAGGGTCAACATCTTCGTTGATGTAGTTTGTATGATCGGTGAAATGTTGAAAATCGACAGTCAGTATTTTTCTCACCAACTCAATGTCGGTCGGTACAAAAATGGGCTGCAGGAAGAAATGGTAACCACAATATGGTAGTCCCTTTTTCTTAGCTACTTTATACACTTCGGCTATTTGTTCTGAAAACGTTGCCCTCTTGTAAAACTGATCTTTCGCATTTCCGAAAGGAAAACTTGGAGGAAACGTGAACACATTTCTTTTGGACCAATACGAAAAAGTCCATTTTAAATAAAGGACAAACGTCACCACACAAACAGCAACTAACGAAAGCAAAACAGGTATCACTATCATACTTGATGAGTGAATGAATCTCCGGCTACTCCGTGGACACTTTTAAATCGTAATATGACAGCGCACTTCTGCAAAAACAACAAACACGATGCGAATTATTTTATTTGCTAGTAATTGATGTTACAGTTTATCGTCGTAAACATGATGTTGCATACCTATTTTTAGACTACAAAATAAACAACTCCATTCTGCATTGTAACTAAATAACAATTTTATAATAAAATTAACAAAAGCCGGCAAACTAAATGCATTTTCAAATATACTGTCTCATCATCTTAAGGTCTTCAGTCCTAAGACTGGTTGAACACGCACCTCCACTCTTTCCTATCCTGAGCAAATCTTCGAATTTCCCTAAAACTAGAACATCCCACATCTAGGTCTACCTTTACTTCTTCGAACTCCTGTTTCCGCCTCTAATATGTCCCTGACTAGGCGTTAGTTAGTGTCCTACCAACCTATCTCGCCTATTTCTTATTGACTTTCATAGAGTCCTCTGTTCTCCTATTCTTTCTAATACATGTTCATTTCTAACCTTCTCTATCCACGGTATCCTCATCATTCGCCTGTAACACCACATTTCGAACGCTTCTAACTAGGGTTTGTCGGTTTTTAAAAACCGGTTTTTTGGAGAAAATTATAAAATTCGAAAACCGGTTTTTTAGTAGAAAATATCAATTTTCAATGTATGAATAACACTTAAANCCTTTGCTGAATAACTCGTTTCACTATTATAAAAATATTTACATCCTTATATGTGAAAATTATGCATCAACAACGAATAATTATTTTTAAAGTTATTTAATCCTGGTGAACTATTATTTCTTTGTTCTACTAAATTGCATAAAAAAATTTTACTATCAATAAAATTGAACAGTAAATAATTTCAGTCAAAAACTGCTTTTAATCACTCTAAATTTTCTGTTAAAATTTTTTGTTCGAATTACAGAATATTCGAGCAAAAAATTTTTTTATAAAAATTCGAAACCGGTTAAAACCGGTTTTCTGGAAAAATTACTATTCGAAAACCGGTTCTCTAAAATGTCGGTTTTTGTATAAACCCTACTTCTAACCTTTTCTTTTCCGCCACGCCCACTGTCCATGTTTTGCATCCGTACACCGCCGAGCATAAAACCTTGACGGTTTTTTTGAAACATATGTAACGTTTCAGTTTATTAAATACTTAATTTACAACACAAACATATAATAAACATTACTTTATTTTAGTTTATATTATAATTATTATAGTCGTTCGGCGTTTAGCCATACTCCACCCTTCACGGACAAAACGAATTGTACAGGGTCGTACTCCAAAGGTGTTTGTGTCTTATTATTCAGCGTGAATTTGTAATTACTAAGCAATGCCACCACTGCCACTTTCACTTGCATCGCAGCAAACCTTAAACCTGAAATTTAGCATTTTTTTATTTCTGTTTTCTAAATGCATCGAACACGGTCAAGTAAAAGACAGAATCATTAAAAATCCATAAATGGATTATTAATAACAAAATAATTATTTAAAATGAATCGGCAAGTTGTAAACTTCAATGTTGGATAAGACAACTAAGTAACAACTGTAATTATCTTAGGTTCTTTGTCAATTAAAGAAAATGATATAGAACTGACGTATTGACGTAAAAAAATAGGGCAATTATCGTAATAAAAGTTTGTTTTTAATTTGATAACATTCCGAAAAGTAATTTATTAAATGATGACTTAATAAATTCGAATTTTCTTACCAATACATATTCTGGGTCCTTCACCGAAAGGTAGAAACGTAAATGGGTCTCTCTTGCTCTTTTCTTCTTCTGAAAATCTTTCTGGATCGAATTTTTCCGGGTCTGGATAAAATTCTGGATCATGATGGATTCCATATACCGAAATGAACACGTTGTCTCCTTCTTCCAGTACCACATCAGATCCAGGAATTTTGTAGGTTTTTGTACAAATCCTTGACAATGACGCAGCTGGAGGATGTTTTCTGAGTATCTCTAAAAAAAGGACACATTCTATATCCTTATCTATTTGTGAACAGTAATATAATCTAGAATCTTAACTAAAATTGTACAAAGGAGGATGGAAAAAAGGGCTGTTAGGGGAAGATTAATTTGGGTTCATAAGAAATAGATGAACGCGAGAGGTCATTCTAGCTTCACGGAAAACAATAGAGAAAACAGTAGAAAAAGGTAAGAGTGCGTACATAGGATTTGTAGATTTAGAAAGAGATTTTGACAATGTTAAATGGGACAAGATGTTAAATATACTTAAAAATGTAGGGATGAGTTACAGAGATAGAAGAGTGATACTTAGTTTGTACAAAAAGTAAGAGACAGTTACAGAGCTGGAGCTGCAACGTAGAGAAGTAAATATTAGGTAGGGAGTCAGACAGGGATGCACACTGTCACCGTTACTTTTTAATCTATACATCGAAGACGCCATCAACATCATTAAAGACAGTACAACTGTAGGGATAGATGTGCAAGGGCAAAAGATTAGTATGCTTAGATTTGCAGATGATATAGCAGTATTAGCATCTAACAAGGAGGAGTTAGAGATAGCTTTAAATAAAATGGAAGCGGTATTGGCAAAACAACATTATATGAAAATAAATTAAAGTAAAACAAAAATTCTGCAAGTATGCAAGGGAAGAAAAAGTAGGAAAAGAGCGAATATAAAGATAGGAAATTAAATATTAGGTATCTAGGAAGTTAGATAATTCGCGACGAAAGGAATAGTAGGGATATAAAGTAAAGGATAGCTCACGGTCCAGTCGCCTTAATTTAGATATTTAGTTGTTACAGGCAAATGATGAGGATAACATGGATAGAAATGAAGAGATATTAGAAAGAATAGGAGAATATAGGACACTATTAGAGGCAGAAATAGGAGTTAAGAGGAGTAGAGGTGGACCTAGATTAGATTACTGTTCATAAGTAGTTAAGGGTGTGGGTTGTTCTAGTTTTGGGAAATGCGAAGATTAGCTCAGGATAGGAAAGAGTGGAGGTACGTGTCCAACCAGTCTTAGGACTGACGACCTTATGATGATGATGAATATAATCTAGGTCTAGCTCTACTCCTAATAACCCCTGTTTCTGCTTCCAATATATCTGGAACTAGCCCTACAAGCCTGAGAAGGCGTTTTTTCGCTTACTTCTTATTGATTTCCATAGTTTAATGAATAAAAATTTTAGAGAAATTTAAAACGTTCTGTTTTTAAGGGTAAATATTGGTGTCAGCAAAATAACTAATGCGTAAGCGGGGCAGATGCCCCATCTGCCTCAAGAAGTATTCAGAACTATGTTCCTATATGCTACAATAACCTTAGGTTATATGCCATCAATTTTGGGTGGTACAGGTGAAATTTTCCTCATTATGACTAGGTCTTAAAACAAAAGGAATCACCAAGAAGTTACTGCTGTGCAAAAATAATGGAACAGGAAGGTAGTAAGGAGAATTTTGATTATCTGACAATTTTCCCCAATTATATAGTGTATGGCATTTTGTTACAATTACCTTGAAAACACTTGTCCAAATAACTCATTTCCATGATAGCATCGTAAGTTATTTCTCCGTTATGTTTCCCTAAAACCGTATTAATTTCATTCCTGAGTTTTTCCTGGATGTCGAGGTTCATCACCAGTTCGTACATTAGAAATGTCAAAGCTGTTGAAGACGTTTCAAAACCAGCCGCAAAAAACACGAACGCCTGCGCAGTTATTTCATTTAGAGACAGTCCATCTTGCGAATAAACGACTTTGTTATTCTCCTCGTCGGAACCTTTACCTTCCAATGAAATCTTTTGGGTCTTCAATTCCATAAGCAGTTTCATAAAATCTTTACGATCGATATGATGTTTTTCTCTGTAATCGATTGTATCTTTAACAATTTTTATAAAGAACCGCTCGACACCTTTATCATTTAGAGGTATATTGAAATAGTTAAATAATCCTGGCACGCATACAGATGCTATGCGTTTACCGACTTTCACAATGCTTCCTTCGAAAATCCTTTTTCCATACTTTCTAAATTCCGTATCAGAATTTTGTAGGCAGTTACAATCAATTCCGAAAACCACCGATCCAATAATATCGGTCGTATATCTGGCCATCGTTTCTTTGATGTCTATGGGCTCAGATTTACTAACAAATTCGTCCAGGAGTTCCCGAAGTTGTTTCGTACAATTTACCATTGTCTCGAACATCATTTTTATTTTCCCTGACGTAAAAGTCGGGGTCAATTTGACCCTGAGGGCCCTCCACTTAGCTCCTTTCAAACTGAACAAATTCCCTGATAGAGGATCGACTTTTTCATTGGCGTAAATGATGTGGTCACTGAAGTTTTGGAAGTTCCTCACGAATATGTCTTTCACAAGGTCCAAATCTGTGACTAGAAGAAGCGGCTGTAGAAACATGTAAATTCCACCGTATTTTAATCCTTTGCTTCTTAGAAGGTTGTACATGTGGTACAGTTCCATTGAAAGTGATGTTTTCCGAAGGATGGTGTCGTGAAAATTACCCAGGGGTATCGAAGGACTAATTGTGTAGACATTCTTCCTGTTCCAGTACTTAAATCGCCACTTGAAGACTATTATCACAAATGACACAATGGATACAATGAAAATTGCTAGTATTTCCGCACTCATGATCTTTTAAACTCGTTGGATCATTTGTAAACCTAATGTAAAAATCGTAAAAACAAATAAATATTACTTAGAAGATTCTGTTACTTAAAAAGTACCTATCGCACTTGTTGCTTCTGTCACACCTCGTAATGTAATAGTCAAAGCATTGATGCGTAAAACTAGGAACCCGGGTTCAATTCCCGACGAGGGCGTGACAACAGCAACAATTTTTTTTATCATGAACTAACGCCATCCACAATAATCATTACCAATTTTTTTCCCTAATTAATTTGAAATAATCTGTAGACGTTAGAAAATTTAATTCACATTAAAGTTTAAATATTAACAAGCATTTCTTTCAAAAAGACCATATGAAATTAAGAACAGAAATAGATATTTTTGGAAATTTTGCATGTGTCCTTTCATTCTTAAAAGAACTACTTCAAATAAATTTTATCTTTGTATAACAGTAGATAATTAAATAAATTCTGCCTTTATTAAAACAAATTCATTTTGTTTAACAAATAATAATTTATTAGAAATTTTAAAAATATTAAATATCTCACCTGTCTGAAGTAAGTTTTAGGTACACCCAAACACTAATTTATTACTACATGCGATTACGAGAACTTCAAATCAACTGCACGATGATGTGAGTTACAATTCTGATGTTGTTATTAAACGTAATCATTTTTGCACATCTATTTAACATAGTAATTTTACTGGCAGATAATTTAA